GTGTTCTTATATAGCTGCTTTCTCCCGTTGCAATCTATAAGTTTCAGTTTAAGCTTCAAAATTTGTAAATGTTATTTCTTGAGACCATTTCCTTTCTTACTTTTTAGTTTGTCAAATTTTAAAATGCTTTTCCCTTTTCTCTGGGCTGAGAAAAATTGTATGAACATAATCTTGCTGGTGCGGCTGTCTATTTAGTTGGAAATGTTAAAATTATTGTAGAAACATCGATTTCTGTCATCTTTTGCTGCATGGTTTTGTTCAACCAGTTTATTAATTTAGTAGCATGTGTAGGATCGAGGAAGCACTACATCTTTTTCTCTTTAATTATGGCATATAGAGTACCAGAAGCTGCAGCTTCCATGTTTTCTCTGCCTCTCTTCTATTTGTTACTACTTTTCTTCATATTGCAAACAAACAATAATTGTTTGACACTACTTTATTATGAATGATGGAAGTTAATTTGTGCTTACTATAGGGATCATCTTTTGCTGCAGATGGTAGACAATGGGAGCATATTTCTTATTGCCTTTCTCAGTTGTCATTCACTGAAAAGGGAATGAAAAAGCTCATAGAGTTATTTAAGACTTATGAACATGCTCTATCTAAGGATTCTGTGATGGATCACTTTAGAAACATAATTAACAAGGTACTGAATTGATCACTAAAAAAACAAAGCCTCTGTTTCTGAAGTCAGATGATACATTTTCTCTTCACATTGTTTGCAAACAGGGTAAGAAATTTGCAAAACCAGAACTCAAAGTATGCATTGAGGAGTTTGAGGAGAAACTTAATAAGTTCCACATGGAAAAGAAGGAGCAAGAGGTGACAGCAAGAAATGCAGAAATACATCGACAGAAAGTTGGCAACATAGAAGGTTTTCCTATGGCCAGAAATGATGGGGAAGAAAGTGCAGAATCTGAAATTGCAGAAGGTTTGCTCATGTAGTTTAAGCCATAGGCCTGTGGCTTTATCTAATCTCTCGCAACTTCTACTATCTTCTTTTTTTTCTTGGATCTCTAACCTGGAAGCTTCTAATTATGGTGTGCGGAAAATTGAATTACTATATATTTAATTTTATTTTCAAAACTATGGAGCACGTTTATATTGGGGAATACAACTATACAAGATAAATATAGTAAAATGTCACGAGTTAGGTCTGCTCTCTGCTGTAAGGCAATTTACTTTGATACATCAAGCAGTCTAGTAAACAACTTGTATCTTAGCATCTTTATTAAGGATATAAAGGTACTAGCCATTAGGTGAATATTTTAATTTGCAAAATATTCAGATATGCTTTAGTGGTACAATTTATATGATATTTTAGGAGAAAGGATTATGGCTGGTGTGACTTTATTTATATAGTTAGCATCCTGATTTTTCTTTCAGTGCGTTAGAGAAAGAAAATTAAAGGAAACTGTTATACTAGGTGACTCAGCTAACAAATTGGTCAGTGGAAGACAGTGGTTATGAAAATCATCTTCCAAGTTCCAGACCTTTTCCCCCTTCAGTGGTCATGCACTGTAGCACTACAGAGACCAAAATTTTCTACAAAGACAAGAAAGGGAACTACTTTAAAAAGTCTGTTCTCTCTTTTATAGAGTAGGCGAAATAATATTTGAACTAATTTTATAATTATGCTGGCATAATACCATGTGGTACATTACAAATATAAACAGATGTAGATATGTAAGTAATATCTTATCTCTACTCTTATGTTAATATGTTAGCAAGTGTGCCTCTAAGCACATGTATAGCTGTAATTCTTCAAGATTTTATTTCCATTCTTTGTAAGCTTAGCTGCTCCCATATGGATATAGTAGTTTCATATATTTACTTCTTATTTCTAAAATTACGTTCAAAATAGTGAAGCTGGTATCAAACATTCTATCTTTTAGGTGTTCAAGATGGTGAAGTCATTAATACATCCATGGAAGGGGAAACTGAGTCTTTGGATGATGAATCGGCATCAAAAATTGTTGAGTCAGAGGAATCTTCTGGAGCTTCCAGTGAAGTGACTGAACAGGAAGAGGGGGAGACTGAAATTCAATCGCTGACAGTTAATAGGAAACGTAATTTGCGCTTTATAACTCTGTTCTTTTTAGTTTATTGAATGAGTTCAGTAACAATACATTTGCCACTGTTATAGGGATCTCCCAAGCCCAAGATAAAAAGGGCCACGTGAAGGATCTGAAGGGTGTGCCTGCAACCACCCGAAGAAGTACCGGTTCCCGGTCTAATAAAAGGTAACTTCAAAGTGTTTGTTCTGCATGATTTACTACAATTTCCTTTATAATGTCTTCCCGCAGTTAATTTGAGTTCACCCTATAAATAGAGTTACTTATATCGGTGACTAACGGTGTTGGCTATGGTTGTTGTCATGGATTCACCCTATAATACTGCAAGATATGGCCAATGAATGGTGGAATTGAGACAGAAATGCTTGTATCGTTTTGGGCAAGATGTTACTTGGTTTTTGTTTTGTACTTCTAGTACGTTTTATTGCACCTGTTACTGAATACTAAGGGGTTAGAGTAGCGGGTTTATATTTGGGGCTTAATACCATGTTCATTGAGAAATAGCATTTATGTTATTGGTTAATAATAGGTTAGAAGCTTGACTTGAGGGCCTTGTCGGCAAAAATAAGGTAATATGGTGATAGACATATGGGTTTAAGGGGAAATGAGGTATTCAAAGATGATGGTTGTTTGGGTTGTCAAGGAGAATCTATTCAACCAAGGCAATCTCACCTAGGAAATAAGACTCACAAGAATTCAACATGCTGAAAAATAAGGAACTCTCTAACTATCTTTTCTGAATAAGAAATGTGGTAGTAGGGATGCAAGATCAAAACTGCCACGAAACATGCTATTGGGCCACATTATGGGAATTCAAAAATGCCTAGATCAGTCTTAGGTACCAATAAGATTTCAAAGATACGCATGAACCAAAGAAAATTATTATACTCATAAAATTGTAGCAGCCAAAAAATAAAAATAAAAAAGGAAAACACAATTAAACTTTGATCACTTGAGTTCCTGTATCAGCCCCAAATCTGCATTGGAATCCCAAAGCAACTTGTATTTGTAACCAGCTTTTCTCTGTTGTTTAATACAATTTAACCAGGTGCTACTCTAGTAGTGTTTTCCACCAGCCTTGTTACTGGAATTTTGGTCCTCCTGTTTTGGATGGCTGGTTTATAAGCATTTGAAATCTAGGGGAGGAAGAAATCATATGAGGGAGAAGAGGTGTCTCTAATGGACTGTGTAAGAAATGATGATGGATCCAAGACATTTGTCATTCTTTGGAGTTGCCCAATAAGGTTGTTAGACCAACTGAGGGGTGAGCCTCTTCTCATGGATGCTACTCGTTGCTACTAATGTTAAGATCAACCTTCTTTTGATTCCTAAGTCAAGGAACAAGAACTTAGGTTTTTGTTTTTTTTCATATTCTTGTTTTGTTTTCTCGTGGTAGCTATAGTTTCTTCTACCACCAGGTTTTAAGGAACAAGTATTAATGATTGCAGGTAGAGAGCTCAGCATATTAGTGTCATTACTGAATGGGAGGAAAGCGAGAGAAGTTTGTTTGTGTAAAGTCGTATGCAATGCTGTTTGTAAACATACATAAAATGAAATACGCAACCCGTTTTAAAAGAAAAGAGGCTCAGGTGATGCTACTGTTTTGAATGTAGCGGTTGGACTTTGTGAGAGAGAAATGAAAATGGACATATCATAAATATGCCTTGTTTGCTGTTGATATAGTGTTTCAATCTTTTACACATTAAGGACTTGTAATCCCCTTCTGCTGCACCAGTTTTGGCCTTTTTTGTAAGCACATTGACTAGGAAATGTGCCTTAGGATAAATTTTATTTTTGTGTCAATTTCCTATTTATGAGGTTAATCAAGGGATTTTTCCCTTTAACCTTTGCTTGAATCCTTGTACTTTCATGGGTTCTTTGACACGTGGTGGTGGCTGCATCCTACACCTCTTCTCATAATACAACGCATAACAAAAGTCAATCAATATTATACGAGATTTTATCATAGGATGAGTATTGAATTGCGTCACTTTGCAAGGAAATGCTTTTACCCGAAAATTCATTTCAATGGTATTTATTTTGTATCATTCGACTTGATTAAAAAAAGAATATAGTATTTATAATCGAGTTTTGATAAAATTTGAGTAATGATTTTTAAAGTATTCATTACTTTATTTTAATTTTACATATTTGTTTATGTATTATTTTTATTTATAAATATTCTATAATTAGTGTAATACTTATTAAAATTCTTTGATTATAATAAATATGATTTTAAACTTTAATTTATTTTTTATGAATTAATTTTAGTTTATTAATTTAATTTTCATTAATATATATTAAAAAAATTGATTCTAAATATATTTTAATTGAATATTTAACCGGTAGTGTAAGATATTCAGAGTATGAATTTTTATAGGGTTTGGATATGTTATCAAAAAATTGAATTTGGATTAAGATATTTAAAAAATAACTAGTATTTTATCTGCTGACATTTTTGTTGCTCAACAAATAAAGCAAAATATTTTCTGGAATGCCTAAGTTGCAAAAATAACCAAAAAATAAAAAAAGAAAAGAAATAAGACCCCTTCCAACCAAATATTATTACAGCAAAAATATTTTCAATAATGAATTGTCTTTTGGGAGTCAGAAGAAGAGGTTGATGTTGTTGGGTTTTGGGTGAGAGTGTTCCGTGGGTTAACATTTAACAATTTGTCGGAAAGGAGGCAGCATCTATTCATGTCGGGCTCAAACGAAATCAAGCGAAAAGGTTACAAAATGAAAATATGACCTTCAGCCTGTTTATTTTTCTTATTCGCTGCTGTCTGTAGGTACTTTTTAAGTTAATTCTATCCGGATTGGAATAAATCTTGAGTTGCATTTAGGCATTTGGATTTAGGATTTTAATACTCGATTTACTCTGTTAAATGTCATTTTAATACTATGCACTTGGGACAGCAATTGATTATAAAGCACTTTCTGAGCAACCAAATCAAAACTTTCATCATAGGAGGAAAAACCAAACACATACATCCCTTCGTTTTGATATCCGTATTACCCACAATGACAAATTACAATTATTTAACCTCTACTCAAAACCTCATAATAACAGTAACAGTTGATGCTACAACTTCAAACGAGGTTTCATAAAACTTCTTGGGGCACCTTTCTGACCCAAATCGAACAGTCTAAGTGCCAGTATTCCTGCGGCCAACCCGTGCAACAAAACCAGCTTTAATTGGAGCAACTGATCGTCCAGACCCACACTGCCAAAATGATATCACAAGTTTTTAGAACATCAGACAAGCACAAGACAGGAACAATAATAATAATAGTCAAGACAGAGCTTAATTATAAAACGCAACATCCAGTACATGCAATTCTAACAAACATGGAGGCTTCAGAACTTTCATTTTCTCATTCACAAGTGAGACAATCAGGCAATGTAGGCAGTTGTCAGAACATCACAAGCCTCCTTGGCAAGAAAACTATTAGAAAACACAATAAAATTTTCTTAAAAACAAAAATCTATTTGTTGTCAATTAGCAAGCCAAAAATTCTACCCTAATTCACGCATAAGACAATCTTCCAAGAGTCTTCAGAACAAATTCATTTCTTGCTCAAAAGGCACTCAGACAATGTAGGCAGTTCTGTAAACATCATAAGCCTCCATAGGGAAAACACTTCACAGTAATGCAACTGCTAGAGACCCATAATAAAGATTTTGTTTAAAAAAAAAATTTTTACAAGCCAAAAATCCGGAACACAGAAAAGACAAAGCTGGTTCCACCCGTATAAGCATGGCCATCCAACCAATTTGACTTAAAAACTATATGTAATATTCCAAACATGGTAAGACCTAATAATATCCACTATCAGATATCAGTTTTATGTAATAACCAGCAGCACCAGACCTCAGATTTTTTACTTTCATTGTCATCAGAGTGAACATCTGACAATGTCGGCAATTCTTAATCATCATCGGCCTTCTAATCTGCACAAATTTATTACTTATTACAGCCTTTAAACCAAAGATATATGCAGGCTATCATTCCAAATAAGCATGACCACCAATTAATAAAACTTTAAAAAACTAGAAGTACTAAGGCAGTGAGTAAAAAAGACAGTTTATCCAACTATATAAGCATGAGCACCCAAGTAATTTCAATATATAAGAACTTCAACTTATTCCATATAATTGTAAAACATAATAATTTCAAAAATCAGAAAACAGTTAATGTAATACTGCCACCAGCAGGGCCCAGTACTTTTTTTTCTTTGATTTTTATCATCAACGTAACAATTGACAATGTCGACAATTCACAAATCATCACAAGCATTCTTCAAGAAAACCATCATTACTCATCACACAATAATTACAAAAACTTAAGCCCTATCCACAATTTTTTTTAAAAAAAAAAGCTAAAAGGATACATGGGCTATCATGCATGTTTAACATGGAGAAACAGAGCGAGTTGGAGAGAATGTGAACTTTGTTACCTTCTCACATCTGAGAAAGAAAAGACGATTTTCCTTTGAGAGAATTGTATCTGGACTTTTGCATCCAAGGCAAATGACATACTCATCTGAGAAGAAAAAACAACATTTTATGAAGGAATTCACCAAATATTCCAAGCTTCAAGTTTACGTTTCTATTATCTCAATATAATGAAGAATATAAGAGATAAGGTACTTACTAATATAACGACGAAGGATCCCTTCAAAATTTTTTGGGGCAAACCTGCCCTTCACAACCAACCTTTGCTGCCCATCAAGTGATCCACTTGTCCCCAGCTCAGCAAGCAAGAATGCCATGACATGGTCGGGTTGTCGATGCATTCTGGAAAATTTTCCCAGACAAGAAGTAGTTAGGGCGGGTGATGTTTGTTACGCAACCCAGTCAACCAACATTGCATGTAGAACATCATCAAATGGTAAACTCAACTCAAAAAAAGATAGCTGCCCATGGTCCTAGTACAACCAGGAGAAGAAATATTTCTAGTTTTCCTCCAAGCCTAATTAACTTCTAACTGATTAATGGGATGAGGACATCAGGAAGTACTAGCAAGTGAGGAAAACCATACTTGAAAGATAAGTAATCATAAGTTAAGTCAGTGCAACATGACCTACATGCAAGCAACATATTTTTATAGAATAAACAACAAAAATTCAGAACCCAAAAGATGCCTTACAAGGGATATCGGATCCTCATCCACCCAAAATAACACAAATACCGTATTTATAGCTGAATATAGTACAGAATTCAGGACAACGAACAACATACGTCTTGCAGAGATCCATGAAATTCACAAATACAGTTTTCTTGGTGCCTTCACGAAGAACTTGTGGAGGCCTCATAACAGTTCTACGTCTATCTCCAGCAAGCTCGGGGTTGTTCTCCCGGAGGATGTTAAACACCCGACCAAGAAGCTGCATGCATCAAATTGAGCAAAGGTTAAATATTTTATCAATGGTAGAAAGGAAAGGATAGCATGTAAAGTAAAGAGAAATCCCCTTAGTGCTCTGGTAGCCACCAATTACCCCTTCAAAGCCAAATAAGATCAAACTTTCAAGAATCACACACTGACACTAAGAAACCTATTTAATTAGTAGCCTCAGAGATAGATAATACCATCCTCCAAAATGGATGGTTGTAATTGGTGAAATTCTTAAACCTTGAATGAAAACTAACGAAGATACTATCAAGAGGAAGCACATGAAGGTTCCATCAAGTACAGATTCATAGCAACATTACCAAGACAAGTTGCAGAATACCAAATCAATCAAATTAACAAGATCAAGCATGCAATATCAGTAACACACTCAAATATATATAACTCAAATACATATATACCTCTTCATATTCATAATCACGATCACTTCCTTCCCAAGGATAACGTTGTTGCAAGACAATGCCATCACCTTCTTCATCCCCATCAATATGATCTAGATAAGTAGTCAAAATATATATATAAGAAGATGTTACTTGCAGATTTCAAGCAAGATCTGTGTTGCTACACTTCACATACTACCAATCACTAATCTTTGAAAGAAAATTCTAACCATCAAAATCGTCTCCAGCATCCCCACTTTCCTCATTCAATGTACTGGTCTCTACCTACAATATCATAGTAATCACAATTAGTTGATCAAGAAGAAACCTCACATATATATCAATTTAAAGCATGCTTACTTACTTGTTTCTTCTTCTTCTTTTTCATACTGGTAAAGTCAAGCCCATCGGAAACTGCAAGTAAAGAGAATAAAAAATGAGTCTCCTAGCAAAACACAGCGTATGTTTTAGCGAATTGTGCAAAAAAATTAACAAAAGTACCCGACAATGCTTCAGTCTTCTCAGCCAACTTGTCAGCAGAATCATCTGCAGAGTCCTGTATCACAACCTTCTTCTTCTTCTTCTTTTTAGTAGGATCAAAGGGCGTAATCTGGAGCGAAGAAATTCAATAATAAAGCAAAAATGACTATAAAACAGGTCATTTGACAAAATTTTAAGTTGAATTGATAATATAGATCAGGCTTTAACGTAAATAAAGCATATTTTCTTTTCATATTTCATTAACGAGATTACTTTCCACAAAATCATACAATTTACAACTTAGAACAGAAAAAAAAAAGTATGCCTCTAAGTGGGTTGAAGCAGAAAAAAGAAATTCCATCACATAAACTAACACATTTGAATACACAATCTCACACAAATATAACAAACGGACCAATTTAATCTTTTTATCCAAATTAATTACAGAAGAAAGACCGCCAAACAAGAAGTTAGCTTAAAGAGAGAGACTTACTTCCGCAACCTCATCCTTCACTTCATCGTCTGCCATGATTGCTGCGAAAGCAAAAAAAAAAAGAAACAAATATTCAGAACAAAGGGATTGATAATGGATGCTTTTCTTGGAACCGAGCAAACCCTAAAAGTTATGAAGCAGGGACAATCGCCGCTTCCCCTTATAGAAAAGAAAACAGGCAGACCTGGGGGTTTTCACTTGGTTTGAATGCGAAATGCTAGCCTGACATCAGAGAAAAGAAAGAATGGAGGATCTGGCACAGAAATGAAAGAAAAGGGTTAGAGACGGCAGGCGTTTGGAAGGGAAATGCAGGGTTACACAGTCACTGAATAAAGTAACTTAGGTATGAATATATTTATTGATAGGGCAAAATTAAACTTGGGCTTGGACTAACCGATAAGACCATGTTTCCATGCAATTTTGCACTGTTCAGCCCATTAATTAATTCTTTCTATAACAATGCAGAGTTCATTCAAAGTGTGTTTTGCTTAGTTTAAAACCTTAGATCAATGCTTAGGTCTCATAACCCAATGCTTAGATAACTTCTTTTGCCCATTTGTGATGTTAACAAAAAAATATATATATTATATTTATATAAATTTGATTATCAATTCTCGCAACGTAGCGTAAGCCTTTCTTTTACCTTACAAGACATAAGATAGACAATGTTTTTTTTTTACATTGATTTTATTTATTTTAATTTTCAAGAAACCTTATATATATAATAAAGTTTTTTTTGAAAGATATATATAGTAAAATCAATTAAATTACTTGTAGATATATCTCTAATATCATAATAATAATGTTAATCTTTATATAAAAGTGACTTGCGGGTAACCTCTCCATGGCCCAGGTGACTCGTAAATCCACAAACCTGACTTAACTGGAGATATTATTATATTAATAAAAAATATTTTTATTCAATTTCAAATTTAAAATATATTTAAAAACATTAAAATATTAATACAAATTTTTTTTTATATTTTAATATTAAATTTAATTTAAATAGCCTTGAATGGATAGATCAACTCAAGCCTTGCTTTTAAAAGTGTTAATTGAGCTTAATTGGGTTTAACTCAACTCATGAATGCCTCTATGTGTGAATCATAATAATTCACTTTAAATAAAATTACTATATTTTATTAGTTACAAGCAGGAGTGGTAAAGCAGGGTGGAGGACTAAACTTGTCAAGATGTGGCTAATTCATTTTTAATTGAAAGTGAGATAGGGTGGGGTATGAAAATTTAAACCTATATTAAAATCGAATTTAAATGAGTCAACCCATCTAATCAGTAAGTTATGTTGGATTGATGTAGGTTAAAAGATTAAAAATTAATAATTTTAGATATTTAATTATATAAAATTTATAAGTTAACTATAAATTGTATTGTTTATTTTATATATTTTGATATTTTTAATCTTTATTTGTTAAATTAATAATTTTAGTTAAGAGTTTATTTGTTTTAACATAAAAGTTTTTTTGGAAAATATTTTCAAGATATAATATTATTTGAAGGACTGAAAATGAAAATGAAATGAAAAAAAATTTTACGGATCAATGGAAAAAAGACTCATTGTCCCTATAAATTGTTATACACCTTGAAGAGTGTAGGACAATTTCCAAGACTCATCTGTTTTGCCCCTTATCTTCCCTAGTTCTCTTTGTGTCTTGATCCTCCCTTGTCCTGACCCTTCTTCTTTCTCACCTGCTCTGCTACTCTGCCTTCCTCCTTCCACCATCGTTGACGACATCAACCTCACCTTATTTTTTTTCCTTCTTTCCTCCTTTTCTTCCTTTCTTTCTTTCATTTTCTTTTTTGCAACCAAAACCATCTCTCTCTCTCTCTCTCTCTCTCTTATTGCAGCCACCACCAATGGCCTGCCGTCGAGTTCATCTCTCTTTCTTTTCCTTATTTATTTGTCCTCTGTTCTTTTTTTTCTTCCCTTTTTGAATCATTGTCCATTTTTTCTTGTTTGCTGCCCCAATTTGAGACCAAATCATATTTTCTTGTACTTTTTGGTTTAATTTTTTTTGTGATTTTGGCTTGATTTATGATTTGTGTGTATACACTTTTTGATTTTGGCTTGATTTATGTTTGCAATCCACTCCCATCTGGTGAGAGTTTGATCTCAAACTAAAATTTTTGGTGTTGAAATGGGTCAGGCATGCACTATTTTTTAAAATAGAAATTTTGTCTGAAGATGAGTGATAATGAAAATTTTTTTCTATAAGTTGATCCAAATAATAGAAAATGTTTTGCACAATTTATTCAAATAATAAAAAATATTAAATTTTTTTTATAAAATATTTTATGTAAAAAAATTTTCTTTTTACCAAATAGACCTTAAGATTGAACCGTAAAAAATTTGAAACTTTGAGACATATCTAAATAAGATTCAAATGTTTTACTTAAGGCATCAACAAAAAAAAATGGATAATGATTTGGTTATATTTTTTTAATTTATATTTTTTCAACCTATAACATTTTGGGCTAGGCTAGGTTAGGTAAGCTCATATTGATATCTCTGTGTGGAAGACACTTTAAAGAGTTTTGTAAATTTGATTACTTAAAGAATGAGGAAACTTAATGAATGGAAGAAAATAGATAAGGAAATAGATCAACCAGTGGGGGAAAATTTAAGAGAAGAAGACAATGCATGTAAATTTATAGTGGGTTTTTTTTTTTTGAAAGGTAGTGATTTTGTATTAATAATGATAGCTACAAAAGAATACACAAAAGGGGTGTTTGGTTTTGAGAAAGTAGACGACATTATTTGCAATTTAAATAGTTGCAATGATTTTGTAATGCTTGGTTTGTAATAATGAGAAGGAATGTGATTGCAAAGGGAAAGTGATTGTAATAAACTAAGCGAACATCATTCTTTTAGGTCACGAAGGGAATGTTACTTTACCTCAATTCAAGAAAAGTTAATTTTTTTTCCTTAAATTATCCCCGACTTTATCTTTTTTTTTTCTTTTTTCTTCTTTTTCTACCTTTCTTTAAGCTAATTGTTATTGAAAAAGATGGGCACAAGGGGGAAGGTGAGAAAAAAAAGAGAAAATAGATAAAAAGAAGAAAAAGAACAAAAAAAAAAAGGAAGTAGAGTTCTTTTTTTGAGAAAAATTTGTGTTTTTAATGTCAAACATTGAGAGCGAAATACTTTAAACGTTTACAATTGAAGAAATTTATTAAGGAATTTAGAGGATTTAAGAGGAAGAGGTGTTTGGGTGCTGTTGTTATGAGAAAAAGGATGCGTTAGACATGCTTAAAATAATACATCTATTGATAAATGAGAATATTTATTATAGATTACGTTCAAATTTTTGGACATGGGTATCTATCTATTGATAGATAGTGTGATCTATCAATAGATTTTTTTTTGGATAATGTTTTTTATTATTCATGTGATAAGTCTAAGCATTATTATTTTAATTTTTATAAGTTTAATGTAAAATTAAATATTTAGGGTTTTTATATATTTTAATATTTAAACAATTAATATTAAAATATTATATTTTTTATGTCATGTTATTATTTATTATTTTAATGGATAAAGTCGAAAAGTTAAAATTTTACATTAAAAAATATAAATTTATTCAACTTTATATTTTTATACATAAAGGTAATTTTGTAAATTTATACTACATTCTTAGTAAAGTGCTTTCAAACAAAACATTACAATATAATTCTCTCAGCAATCATATTCTCTACAATCATCATTTTCTCATGTTATACTAAACGCTGTAAACGTATCTTTTCAACAATCATATACCTAGCAATTATATTCCTAACAACATGCTAAACACAACCAAAGGGTGGCTTAAGTAGCCTTTCCTTGTGATCTCAAAACTATAGGTAAACAAACAAATTAGGTAGTAAAAGTTGAATAGCTTTGTCAGCTACCGTTTTCAACTATACTCCCCATGATACTTCAAAATTTACATCACTTCAAGAACTCATAATTGGTTTTCGTTTTATACTTAGCTTTCACTTACATTGCTAATAGTCCACATCAGATCACCTTGTTTGCGTATGCCTATTTTAGCCAAGCTATATGCAATTCAATTTGCAAATCAAGGGATCTTAGTTATGTTCCGTTTAAATAGCTTGGATTTTAGCCCGTCAATCTTCAAATGGTCTTCTTAAGTTTCCATGGGGTATTGTGAGGGTTCAACACTTATGACACACCGTTGGAGGAATCACTCTCAAAAACAACTTCATGGGAGTTGGCCCATTTTGATGTAGCCATCACTTGAAAGCCCTTCTAAAGTGCCATTAGCTCAATTGTATTAGAATCAGTGATACCCACTGAAATTGAAAATAATAAAAAGATGCTCCCTTTCTTGTCCCTTAGGACCCCTCTATCCTTGCTTTGCGATGGCATCCACTTGTAGCCATACCGATGTTAAACTTGAGGCCTTTTAGGGGTGTTTTTTACCAAGCTATTAAACTCTTTATCTACTTTCTATTTTAAAGGCTCAGGCCAACATTTGGACTTCTAATCACATCTATCAAAGAAAGGTTGAGGTATGACCATTTGGCTTTTAACCACCATTTTAACCTTAACTTAATTGTGTCAAAGGGGTTAAAGTTGCTCCAATTTTTACCTTGAACACAACATCATTTTGAGCTAACCAGATGGACCATGCAATAGTGTAAAAAGCCATTCCAAACACCTTTTAATTTTCTCTTTGGTTTCTCATCTCATTCCAAGTTTGAAAGCACATAACAAGATCTTTATGCAAAACCTTTTGACATTCCAGTAATCATAACACTATAAATTTATAGTGGCTTGATCAATCTAAACCTTCATTCATTATGTTGATAACCCGTATAAAGAATTTAGCTCAATTCTTGACTAAACCAATTTAATTAACAGCTTTTAGCAAGCATTTACAATGTGTTTCACTTAAATCCGAATTTACAAACTCATTTAATATCATAACCAAGGAATGTTTTCCACATTGGGTTTCACAAGGTTACAACTTGAAAAAATCATGTGCAAATGATCAGTAATTGATTTGAAAACACTTTTACAATGTAATACTCTTTTGCTTTTATTTAATATATATGAAGTGAAGCACAAAGAACAAATGAAGTAGAAAAAAAGTTCTTAGAATTATTAATCCAAATTCATTCAAGTTGATCTTTATAGTTGTTGATGAAACCTTTTTTTGATCTTTTTTATAGTTAAGTTTGAAATCTAGCTATTCAAACCAAATTTGCTTGTTAGAGTGTTAAGATTTGATAAAAAGTATAATTTCACGTGATTTGCCTAGAGTTGTTTGACCCATAGGTTAATCATTTAGTGTTTTGCATTAGTGAATAAAATAGTTGA